GCTTAGTGGGTCGCACACCCAAATTTTCTTTGCCCTTGGCTTTGGCGGAGTGGATTTTGCGACGAGCCCCAGCCGTTTTTGAGGTAGCGGCATAGCCATGTGCCTCGGCAATGACCACTCGGTCAGTTAAGTCCAGATCGGCACTATCAGGAAGTGGACGGAGGACAGGATCAATGGTATCGAGCTGAGTGCGTTGTGAACCACTCTCGACAGGTAAAGGTGAAGAGTGGTGCTGATGCCAGGTAGGGAATTTGGCTGGGGTGTTGAGTGCATACTGAGACCGTTACATGTTTAGTCAAATACATATCTCAATAAAGTCGAACATACCTGATAACCCTGAGGGCAAGTTACATTGGTCCTCGGAGTGAGTGATGCAGTACCATTCGGCCCAGTGTGAGTAAAATTATCAGGTGGCAAGACATGCGATGGACGTGCAACTGTCTGCGCAATTCCGGGGTGTGGTTGCCATGTCCCAGCTTGGTCGCGACTGTATGCATTGCCAGCACCGTCATATTGTAATTCAGACATGAATATAAAACTTCAATGAAGTGTGTATCAGAAAGAGAGAGGATTGAAGCGAACGAGTACTTACCTTTTGCTCCTCGAAAACGTCTCTTTATATGCCAGGAGTCCGACGGCTGTCAGCCGTTGTTGTTCTTGACTTTCGTGCCAATATATTGCAATGCACAGGACCCTGACATGGTTCCTGTCCAACGAGATGGTACGAGCACAGAATGTAGGGTTGGCAGATGAAAATTTCTTGAGGGGGTTTTCGCATTGGATGCCGATTGTCCGTCGTACGTTGATGTTGAAACATAACGAGACACTGCTGTTAGTAAGATCCATTGGCCTACAAGGGCTAGTGTCAGGCTCGGGCCTTATTTGGACACTTTGTGAGTACCTACAGGAACAAGGTCAGTGCACGAGAATTTACAAGGGATCAGAGAAGTACAGTAGTAGCGGCATCGAATAGCGCTGGATGATAGAGCCTGCGCAGAGCTGCGCAGCTACCACGCGGTAAGATTATGTCAGCGGATATCGCTGGTGTGAGTGGTCCTAAAAGGGCAAAGTATGAGTTTATTCGCGTTAGAATAATCTGCAGGGGGGGGGTACCCCCCCCCTACAGATTTAAAGTTTATTGGGGGGGGTAGACCCTTGTTGAATGACAGATGGTGACGAAACGACGCCCGGCATCGCGGCCGACCTTCCTAAAGCGTGAAATGATATTCTATGCTGCATTATTTTTGCCTACGGGAAGTCATCCAGTGTGAACGTTGATCAAAAGAGTTCACCGTCCACAGTGGAATATCATTCCGCTTGGGCTGATGTAATGTCACACGTGATCAGATTTTAAGACGCGTCGCGTAGATGGCTCTCGCTTCTCTACACAAACATTCAAACGACCTTGCAACTGCAATAAAAATGTATAATCTAGGTGAGACACCTCTGAGATTCTTCGCTCAGGCTTGACGTGTGGCTTTGCAGATTCTTCTCCTAGTCCACCCAGGAAGAAAATGAGAATGTCTTCTCCGACCTATGATGAACAAGTCGATGACATGAGTCAAGACGATATAAGCGCTTTCGATGCTATAGAGGCACGCCTCTCTCAGCAGGCTCCACTTTCTAAAGTACACCTACCAACAAACTCGCACCGCAGGCTCAGCTCTGGTGAAGCTGGAGATCGTAGCACTTCGTCCGATCAGGACCTACTTTCCTCACAGGACATAGCTTCTCAGGGCGACAACAATCCCTTTGCTTCTGACCCATTCGCTAATTCGGATGCCACCAAACCAGCCGCATATGCATCTTTTACCAAAGCATCTGCTGTCCTCCCTCCAGTAGGCTTCAAGTCTGCATTGGCTGTGTCCATTCAGAATGTGGATAACTCACACCGTTCACCTTCACCAGAGGTACCCCAAGAAGTTGATTACTCTTCGTGGTTTACTTCGGCTCCTCCTGCAACTTTTGTAGGCTTTCAATCTGCTGTTTCTTGCCTTGACAAAACCAAAGAGAATGTCCTCGAGGCGACTGCCAGTCACGTCACACCTATAGGTTTTACGTCAGTCGGCAAAAAGAATCTTATTGTCCCTTCAACCGCTGCATTGCGGAAGGCCGAGGAAAAGATCAAGCTGTGGCAGGGAGAGATTGATGATTCGAGTTCCTCCCAACATTCTAGAGGGTTTGCGCCATCTTCACCTGCAAGACCATCCTCGCCTCAGCGCACCGTGCTGGGAGCAGTGCACAACTCTCTATCTCCTCAGGTCCCAGATACGCCGACTCCAGCAATGGTTACTCGCAAGTCATTTGAAGCTAGAGCACGATCGACTTTTGATGCACCGACGCTTGGTGTCAGCGACTTCAAGGGAAAGCAGAAACCGTTCAAATCTCCTTTGATCACATCCGCACCATCACGACAGCCTATCGCAGGGACAGCTAGTTCTTCATATATCAACTCTCCCCTCAACCCTCATCGTCAGGGCTTTGCGTCCGCATCTTCTCATATGATTCCATCTAGTTCTGCGATACCAGGAACGCCTGTCCGTCCCTCAGCATCGGATAATCCTGGGAGTACATTTCGCCTACTGGGACTTATGCCGCGAAATGTACATGGTGGTCTGGTCAAGAACAAGTTCGTGACGCCATTCAAACCGGGCGTCAAACCTCCAGAACTGAACAATGCGGCATCAGCTACACCCTCGTTTGCTGCTCCAAGTCCCAGCTTACAGCGACCTATGTATCCACCCTCAGCAACCCAATCTTCCAGGCCAGTAAAGAAAACTCCAGAAAAGGGTACAGGCAAAGTATTCAACCTTGGTAAGTGTTTCACTGCAGCGATCCACCGGTCGACATATCACTCTTGTTACAGTCCCTCCCCCAGGAAGGATGACGCTTGCCAGTTCTGGTCTTACACCTCAGGCCTACACAACCGCAGAGCTTGAGGATCAGGGAATGTCAGTCAGTCGGTTCAGCTGCAATGCGAATTGTTAACATACTTCTACATAGTAATATTACAGAACTATCCCAGATAACACCAGCTACCGCTTGCTTTTACTCGTTTTATACGCCATCTGCTACACCAAACGAAGGTGTTAAGCCATCTGATGCGAAGCCTCTCGGAGCAACTGCCGCTCTACAAGAACTCCACGCAAGAGGATGTTCGTTGGCCACACAGGAATGGATCGATAACCATTGGCCGCTTATCCTCTGGAAGCTGGCCGGAATGGTCGCACTCGAGCCAGAAGCAGAGTCTGATCCCGATCGCAAACGGTGGTGCTGGCCTGAAGTGATCCGCCAGCTACTGTACAGGTTTGTGCTGTTTACCTATCCATTTCGTCCTGACCAACAACTGGCGCAGATACGAACGAGACTTGAACGGGTCGACACGACCACCACTTCGACTGATTACCACAAGAGATGCGCCTGCTGCATCCCCGATGGTGCTCTGCGTGTCAAATGTGACTTGGTCGCCAGCTGGAGTAACTGACGACGGGTTTCCCATTCCTTCGCATCCAGAGTTAGAGGTGACAGACGGATGGTACAGACTGCGCGCGAAGGTCGACAAGCCGCTTGCGAGAGCCATCCACAATGGTCACATCAAGATCGGGAGAAAAATCGCTGTTACTGGAGCCAGGGTGAGTGACTGGAACTACCCTACATCGCGATATTGATTGGCTTTTCGTGCAGCTCTCTGCAGAGCGCAAAGATGGGCAAGAAGTCCTCGAGGCATATGATTCAAATGTACTGGTGCTGACAGGCAACTCATCCCATATGGCCCCCTGGCACGCAAAGCTTGGCTTCCAGCGAAGTCCATTCATTGCAACGTTCAACAGCCTCACGGCGGACGGTGGAAACGTGGCCGTTGCAGCTGTTGAAGTTATCAAGGTAGGATGGGTGTGTAACACCCAGACATAGCTGACTCTAGTGTAAAGATTCATCCTGTCGCATATATTGAATTCTTTGACGACGAAAACGGGAGGCGGATGGAGGGTCCCCGCAGTGGTAAGGATGAAACTGCCTTGAGTGAACAATGGAAGGTAAGATAACGAGCTCTGAGCCAAGTCTAGCGCTCACATTCTACATCAGAGGAAACGCGAACTCGCTGCTTCCAAGATTTGGTCAGATCTTGAAAAACGAGCGGGTTTGATGATGAGGTTTGCAGATAGGCTTGAACAACGTGTGGGTCCGGGCTTCGATGTCAAAAATGAAGGTGAGAAGGCCGCGACCGAGATAGTACGTTGCTCACGCGCTATGTTAGAAATGCCGGACAACCTTGACGATTTGTATGAATCCTTGGAGGAGAGTGACCAACATCAAGCCCAAGCGATACTTTCACGCCTCAGCCGCCTTGAAGCAGGCAGTCTTGCTGCACACATCAGAGAGAAGCTTCTCCGGGATCGCGGAGCTGTCGCGGGAGATATCGAGCGAGAATTGCAGGTAAGTTTCACATCTACATGATGTTGTCTTTCACTGAACGCTCCACCAGGACAAATGTCCTGCTCGGGAAGTACGCAGTTTCCGTGTTATCGTCGTGAAGGATGCATATACACCCACACGAGGCGGCGACAGTGGTCGCAAAGCTCAGTTGACTGTCTGGGATGTACTCAACTTGTCGATTGCTGAAGGATCCCAAGCAGGGGAGTTTAAATTGGGCCAGAGGTTCCTCGTGAGCGATGGGTTATTCAGCGGAGTAGGAGACTCCTCTAACGATTACACCAGGTGACAAATTTGATGCCCAAGCAAGTATCTGCTTGGATGGACCGTGGCCCTGGATCTGAAGTGTATCTTGCCACCACAAAGAATTCCAGGTGGAGAAGGTTGCCGTGAACGGACGGTTATAGTGAGGCTTTTCATTCGGTATATGTATAGGTTGAGGTGTGATGATAATATATACTCGAGGCCAGAAGCTTTGCTGGACCTCCTTTTCGAACGTCGATGTCGATAGGAAGGCCCACTAACATTGAGCAAGCTTTACAGTAACACATCACGCACAGTCATGTCACTCGGATATGGTGTAAAGGTAACATATCCGCCTCTCATCGCAGGGCGCGCGGTTGCTCGGGGTTCGATTCCCCGTATCCGAATCATTTTACGGTCCAATCCCGTTAACTTGATTGAATATTGAGGAATGACTTCGGTTCTATTGATCTACTTTTTGTTTCCCCAAGATTTATCGATTATTGCGAATAAATGGACTTCGAAGCAGCAGCACCCGAAGGTACCTACATTCATAGACATACAATAAGCTATTAGCTAGAAGGTAAACACCGCTGTGTCTTATACAATTTGCGGATGACTGCAAGGATATGATGTTCAGAATCGCTCGAAGTACTGGTATTATTAATCACATGCTACTTGTATTTCCATGAACCCGTGGCGCAGTGGTAGCGCGTATGATTCCAGCTGAACTCTGAGTTCTGGGTATCCATAAGGTCATCCGTTCAATCCGGGTCGGGTTCACTTTTTCGTGTGAAAACGCATGGTGTCCAGATTTGGCACAAAGTTCAGCGGCATCATGGTGGCTAGATTTTGTTTTGGTTCTGCCAGTGATGATGTCTTTGAGCAGTGCCATTGAATGTTGCGCCTATGCGGTTGTCACACATCCACAGAATTTCAGTAGGGTCATCGGATCTTGTGCCTAAGCTGATCCGACCACAGCGCAACTTGCAAGTCATTCAAATTTCACAAGCACGCTTTTACTGCGTGTACCTAAGTCTTACTTTCGCTGTGCTTACCGATAATACAGAATTCAAATTGTGCCAGTGGCAGGTCGTGCCACCGCCCCTTGTATGCAGCACGTCTTAATTCCGCTCAGTAAGTACTGATCCTAGTAGTACGGAAGAAAGCTTATGATGAGACATTAGATTATGTCCAATCCGGTTACCCAGGGTCTATGACCCCAAAGGACTCCACTTTGAAGCAAGGAAAAGAAAAGTGCTAATCCCGCCACTAGCCTGTGGTAATAGTAAGTGCTTCACATCAGCTGCAAAGCCTTTGTGCTGAGCAGTATAAACATGCAAGTTAGCCGGTTAGGTCACAATCGCCGAGGGTGGACATCCAAATTTGTCCGAACAGAAGTAGGTGAATTTTTCTTTCAGAGAGAATTGTCAAATTTTGATAACGGTTCCATGGCGCTGTGAATTGATACACACTACTAAGGCAACTATGGAGTAGTGAAAGCGGTCAATCTTACTGCCCAAATGCGACCACAGCTTCTTCCCCACGGGATCGGCCGTTTGCCACCTCAAACAGCGCTTGTTGCAGCTATCAGATGGTTGCGAACGGCACGGGGGTCAACCAAACCACTCAGGGAACAGTGGTGTGATAGTGGCAGGAGGTGGCCGGTAATTTCATTCAGCGTTTGTTGGTATCAGAATTCTTTTTTTGCATGCATTACAGCACGGGAGTTAACCACGAATCCCTCATATGAACCTAACACAGCTTCTCACGACGAAACATTTATGCTCTCGAGTTCCTACCTTTCACAAGATAGTTGCCTACGCTCGACCATCCCAGGAACTTTCGTGCACAGAAATCACCGAGATATTCTCCTATCTGAATCTGACTCAACTGATCCAGTGGCGCAACCATAATCATAATCATGGGCATACCTATGGACGCAGCTGCTTTGTTAGGTTTATTTCTGGAGACCTTGTTGTATGGTGCGTAACCGACCACTGGTGGAAAGGGAATGGTACCAAACTTCACTATCTCAAACAGGCGTGTTCTTCACTTTATATTGGTTCACGTTGTTTATTCTACTCAAGAAGACCGGCATTCAACGGCAACTCCTTCTCCCAGTGGCAACCTTGCTGCTCTGCATTGCAACGGCCGTGAGTCGCCGAGTGCAGTCAGAAATTTTCTTGAAATAGCTCAACACTCTCAGCATTTAATCATCGATTTCATTCGAGCGCTAGAGGCATTCGTATTCAAGGTGGATACGGCTGGTGCAAGTGACTACTATTCCAACTTTGCTTCGCCATTGTTTGTTGCATCAACGGCACTTTGCGTCACGCAAACCATTCTCGCCGATGCAATAGTTGTAAGTTTTTCCCCATGGCACGTTTGTCCATCTGAGTACTAGGGCGGTCCTAGGTTTGGCGATGTTATGTGCTCAACGACAGAAAACTGTTGGTTGCCATTCCCTTCTGTATCATACTCCTAGCCAGCGTGGGTGAGTATCTCGAAAGGTACAATTTAATCATCATTTAATCCCCAAACATCTCACAGGCACTGGATACTATGGCGTCGGATCCCTTTCCCGGGCCCGTCTGCTGTCTAATGTCCCCCTCGCTGATTATGGGTGTATCGCCACATTTGATGCACTGACTATGGGTCTCAGCGTTACCAGTACCAGTATGTCGATTGCATCTATCGAACGTGCAGGCTGATAACCACGGTGGTGCAGGTTTGAATGCTTGGCGCATCTATCGCACTCGCTGCTTCATGCCAGAGGGCTTTGCCGCTTTTCTACCCGTTTTTGTCGTCGTCATCGAGAGCGGCGCTTTGTATTCCACGAGTATCCTTATGCTCCTTCTAACATTCTTCATCGGATCCAACGGTCAGTATACCATGCTGGACATCGTCACTCCTATTGTGGTGAGTTGACAGAGCATAGATCCAAGCACATGATTCACAGCAATTTTGTTCAGGGGATCACATTTTGCCTCATCATTCTGCAAGTACACTTCGGCGTAGGTCGCAACTTGCTAGCCGAGAAGCCCACTGAAGCAAGGGGCAACCACGAGCCTCTTTCTAGAGCGAAATGTACGGGAGAGCTTGAACATGGAAACAATGAGTGTGCACATTGCAGAGGAACCGGAGATCGTTCAATTTGATATGATATGCAGAAGGAAGACAGTTGAAGCTCAGATGGTTTCTTCTGATCAAAGATAAGTAGGTCCGTATTTTATTCTTGGTAAGCACGTAGTAGATACGCCTGTTTTATCTGAATAACAACTTGGAATGCAAGGTCAAGGGCCAGTTTATAGCGATCCAGTTCTATTGATGTTACTGAAAGCGAAAACTAAGTTTCCTGAGTCTCCATAATTCACAGTAATCAAGAAGTGTCTTCGTGTGTAAGGCGGGATCATATATATGACATGCTACTACGTCATGGTCCTCAGGTACTCTCCGAACTACTCCTCGCCTTCATCATATATCCACTCCTTTGGCCATGTAGGCGAGATCTCCCTCCAGTACGTGAAGTATGCCTCTAATCTCTTACGTCGACCCTGCTCTGCGCGCACTACATCTCTCATATTCTTCGCCTGCTCCCTTAGCATTTTCGCTCTCTCGCATAGAGCGGCAATCTGAACGAGAATACGCTGATCGTCGGACGTGATCTGGTTCATGATACCCACCGCCCGGTTGAGCATTTCTGGTCTTTCGGGCAGGGGGGTCCCTGAACGCGAGCTGAGGGGGGAGCCATGCTGATTATCATAAGATAAGTTGGAATCAGCATCGCTGGTGTCATCGTCCAGTGGAACTGGGCGCCCAGTGTGACTTTCCAGTACCAGTGAAGGGCCTGGCAATATTTCTGCCGAACTTACAGCGGCGATGTCGGCAGTATCTTTGGCTACTATAATTGGAGTACTTTTTTCTGTACTGAGCGCAGATTTCTGAGAACCTTCCTGGGTGGGTCGATGATCAACTGGACAGATGTCAGTTTTGTGCGCTCCGACGTGACACATGATACTCACGATTTATGTCCACAACTGCATCTATGATTCGTGTTGATGGACCCGCGCCTAGAGGTATTTCTCCGCTAGTTCTTCTTGTTGGCTCAGAAGGAGGCTGGTCTTGCATGCTAGTTCTCCCAGTCTTCCTCAGGGGCTCTTCATTCCCTTCATCCTGACTGAGCCAAATGATCAGGACGGTTCATTACGCCGAGCATGAAGGGGACCTACTGTAGCTGAACAATCTTGTAGAGCTTTAAAAGCTCTTGGATAATCGTCCCGCTCTTCATGTTAGCCTTGATTTTATTGGCCTATTTCCTAATTATTTACTGTGGCATTCAAAGAAAAGTGCGATACACACCTTTGCGAGCCTTTGTAACTTTGCCCGCGTGAGCTTACGGAGCGTAGCTTCGTACATGTCATCTGTCTCCAGACATGCAGTGAGGATCAGGTGTGTGGATGCGTCCGCGACGTGATGGGAGGGTGCGTCATTCATTCTGCGGAGTGTAATCTTTGGCACTCGAATACCGAGATAGTGTTAATCGTTGGGATTGACGAGCTTGTATGCTTTTATAGGCACCCGATGTGGCGGAATGTGGTCTACAAACATCCACAATTTAAATCCACACCGATTGTGGCGGTACAAACATATCCACAACTTGAATGGACTTGTGCCACAAACTGCCGAAGGAGGAGCCCACATCATGAGTGCTCCGGCCGGGTCACTGTAGAATTGACTGACACAAACAACTCAGCTCGTACTACATCACAGAACTCGGGCCTCCCTTTTGCTCCCACCATGCTCCCATTCTCTGTGATCGGCGAACCACAGTCATATGGTAATTCCAGAATGCTGACTGTGCGACTTGCAGTACCTTCTCTTGTGTAGAAAAGCTCATCCTGAATGGGGAGAGTGAAATAGATCAGATCCAAGGACACATTGCAGTCAGATGCTCTCAAAGAGCAGGCGTTAAACAAGTAAACTGGTTTCCTGTCCCGAATTCGGCGACCCGCACTATATCGGAGTTCGTCATGGTGTTTGTTTGAAACGCACAGATTCTGTGTTCTACCGCGGGTCTTCTTGTCATGCTCCACTATCATATGGCCCCCTCAGTATGAAGAAGGGTATCAGGCTGAGGTCATGGTCTACGATTACGGATGTCCTTATACAAACCTAATATGAGGTCGTTCACAGTTAGGGTAATGATGCTAAGAATGACAGTCAGAAGGGCGCAAATCCTACAAGCTGAGAACAACTAACGTATGAGGCGCAACACGAAGAAACTGTGCAGTTGAACCTAGATTGTTGTTTTTAATCAGACTTGTCGCGGTATGCATGCCGCTACATACCCTTGTACCACCCAAACACGCCTTCTGCCCTAAAAGTTTTCCAGAGACAGTCGATG